GTGAGCTAACTCCCGCTTGTAGCTTTCGATAAAGAAAGCCTATACACAGCAGCAGCAGCAGCAGCAGCAGCAGCAGCAGCAGCAAAAGTTAAGCAGCAGCAGCAGCAGCAGCAGCAGCCGAAAAAGTTAGCAGCAGCAGCAGCAGCAGCAGCAGCAAAAGTAAGAAGCAGCAAAAGTAAGCAGCAGCAGCAGCAGCAGCAAAGGTAAGCAGCAGCAGCAGCAGTAGAGGTAAGCAGCAGCAGCAGCAGCAGCAGCAGCAGCAAAAAAGGTAAGCAGCAGCAACAGCAGCAGAAAGGGTGAGCAGGAGACAGGAAGAGACAAAAGGAGACAAAAGGAGACAGAAAAGGAGACAGCAAAAGATATAAAAAAGAGACAAAAAGAGACAAAAAAGAAATAAAAAGAAACAAAAAGAGACAAAACAAGAAACAAAAAAGGAGACAAAAAGCAGACAAAAAGGAGACAAAAAGGAGACAAAAAGGAGACAAAAAAGAGACAGTAGAAGAGGCAAAAAGGAGACAAAAAGGAGACAAAAGGAGACAAAAGGAGACAAAAGGAGACAAAAGAGTTGCTTTTTTCTGCGTATTGTTTGTGTGTAGGAGACAAAAGGAGACAAAAAAAGAGACAAAAAGGAGACAAAAAAAAACAAAAAAAGAGACAAAAAGGAGACAAAAAACAGACAAAAAAAGAGACAAAAAAGGAGACAAAGAGGAGACAAAAAGGAGACAATACACAAAAAAAAGTAAAATTTTTGTCTCCTTTTTGTCTCCTTTTGTTTTTTTTTTTGTTTTTTTTTTGTTTGTGCGTAAGTTGACAGTAAAGGAGACAGTAAAGGAGACAAAAAAAAACAAAAAAAAAACAAAAAAAAAAACAAAAGGAGACAAAAATTTTACTTTTTTTTGTGTATTGTTTGTGCGTAAGTTGACAGTAAAGGAGACAAAAAAAAACAAAAAAAAACAAAAAAAAAAAACAAAAGGAGACAAAAAAGAGACAAAAAAGGAGACAGTAAAGGAGACAGTAAAGGAGACAGTAAAGGAGACAGTAAAGGAGACAAAAAAAAACAAAAAAAAAACAAAAAAAAAAACAAAAGGAGAC